CAGTTTTGGAGATGGCTCTGACCCCAGTCCGTCTAAGCCATCACAATGTGGCCCTTGTCAAAGTCGCTCAAATCCTCACGCTTGCCATCTTTCCTGCTTCGTAAACACATTCAACTGAGGACAAAATGTTCACTTGCTGCCTAACTATATCCCAGCCCACTGACAGGTTCCATGATAACCAGATCATCAGTTTATTCACTACACCTGCTCATAATGTTATGGCTGATCGGTGTATATAATAATAATATAATTATTCTAAATTAGTTAGGGTCATCATTAGCATCAGAGCTCTTGAAAATTGTAACCAAAGAAAGGTACTGCAACACACAGGTTAGTTGAGCTAGCTGTAAACTAGTTAACCCTGAGAATGACTTAGAATTTGTAATCCAATAACTATGGTGTTTAGCTAACTACATTAACCATTTATTCATTACTTTTAGCTAACTATTTCAACAGTTTGATACTTTTAGCTACTTCAATCATTTATTTAATACATCTAGCTATTTTAACTATTTATCCTTGGCTTTTAGCTATTTTAACTGTTTGTCCTTTACTTGCAGCTAACTATTAGAACTATTTATCTGTTACTTTTAGCTAGGCTATCTATTTCAATCATTTATGCATTATTTGTAGCTGTTTCAACTTCTCTGCTCACTTGCTATCTATGCACTCTCAGTTGCAACAATGTTCTGGTGTTACAGCTGACCCAATATGTGGATATTTTTATAAATGAGCTGAGCTACATTACCAACCAACCTATATCTACTCTACTTGCAACTGGCACTACAGAAGTAACTCCCTAACCCTAACCCCATAACCCCCGGGGTAATAACACCCCTAGTTGAGAATCCCTGTTGAATTATGCCAAGCTGGTGAGAATCTCAATTACTGATCTACTCACTATATACACATTGCATGCATTACAAAAATGCATTAATACATTAATAGATGTGTTTGCACTTACTGCCAAACACTCTTTTCCAAAGGTGACCAATTACTGTGGTGTTCATGTTGTGCAGACCTCAGATCCATTAGAAGAGAAAGCACAACAGAACAAGATAAAATTGCTCTGCAGATATCAAACAACACACTCGAGTTCTGCTTCATTCATTGACGTTTTTTCCTCTCCACAGGACTCTGTCAGCCCTGTAGGCTATCTGTGGGGGGAAAAGAAAAGGCATTTTTTAGATTTTTATATCTGTTGTCTGTTTGACAGACTTATTGTTGTTTTTTTTGTTTTTTTAAAGTTTTGACCTGAATTGATTTTACGGCTTTCAATAGTGTAATCCTGGGTAAGAAATAGCATGCTTTTGATTCATGTCCTGAATAAAAATGTCCATGCATAAAATTCTACATTCAAGCAAAACTATACTTTCTATTGGGAAATGTAATCAAACAGTACCTCCAAAAGCATATTATTAACTTAAGATTTGAACCAACACACAAGGGGGTTGATTACAGTTTCTACTTACAGAGTCCACTTTTGGTACACTTTCTCTGCAGGTGCCCATAGGCATTCAACCCTTTAGATGCCTCCTCTGATATATGTTTTATAGTAACACCAGTTCAACATCATTCAACATAGCATCAATGCCAAATTTGAGGACGACATCTGCGCACATAGTTAGTGCCACCGAGCATTAAGCAGAAATTTGTACAAACCCTTCTCCTGGAAAAGCCAATGTAGAGGCCATGCAGAAATGCATCAATAATTCAGTCCCAGATATATCTTATTTGACCTCATACGAAAATGTATTCCCTTGTGTGGAACCAAGTTTGAAGAGCGATGAGAACAGATATTTGAAAGAAGGTGGATGGGTAAAAAAAGAGAAAGAAATCAAGAAAAAAAAAACATGGCAGTATACGGCATCAGTATGAGAACCATGAGGTCTCACTCTTCTCTGCTCCACATGTTGATTGATGGGATCACAGGCAACCTTCAATATAAGAAGAGAAACCAAAACCTTCCTGGTAAAACAACACAGATTGGTATGCATCAATTTTCTATGTTGTGCGAATGTGTCTTTTGTTTGTAAAGTGTTACTGGATTTGTGTTAGATTTTGACATTATTTTTAATGAAAATAATTTGAATTTTAATGTTGACAACCGTTCTTGATGGTCTTTGAATTGTTTTAATACCCAAAACCCAAACTGTAATCTCCCCCACAAGCATATAAAACACATTCTGATTCTGAAACCAACTCTAAAATTTGCAGGATCTTAAATATTAAATATGTAGCCATGTTGTTGACCTCTTTCTGCA